AAGTAGACTTTAGTGGAAATTGCGGAACCTGGTTATGTTACAGATGTATGGGATTTTACATTGATTGAGTTAAAACTAACCCAACTGGTACCTGAAAAAGGGACATTATCATTAACTATGATAATTAATCTAATACTTTATATTTTGCTTGATGTAGCACATATGCTGTTGGAAGTCTCCAAAGTCTCAAAGAAAGCTTCTATTTGGTAAGAAAACTAAGCAAAATGAACAACCACATTCCACAAGTACCACTTTTTATCAGCTACCCTCCCAGAGGCAAAATAGTGTAACAGCACTGAGCCACACTTTTTGGGTTCAAATCCCACTTCCCCCACAAACCCTTCTGTGACCCTAGGCAAGTTACTTACCCTCAACTGTAAAATAGGAAATAGCAGAGTAATAGTACCTAACTCATGAGGTTGTTGAGGATATTAAACATGCTAATAGCAGTAAATCACTTAGAACATTTTAAGTGCAGAGTACAGATAAAATGCTGTATAAATGTTAAGCTGCTATTATTAGCTGCTATTATTATTAACAATTATTATCCATATAATAAGACGAGTACATTTAAATCCAAAGTTCTCTTCTGGAAAGTGATTTCTGTTTGTATTAGAGACCTTACCTTCTGTCGTGGTTGGTTAGGGGCGGAAACCACCACTGTGTTACAAATTGCCAACGCAATGAAGAAGTCGATAATGTACAAGGTCTCCAGTGGAGGATCTGGGATGGTCTCATCTAGGGAGGTAAAGAACTGAGGTGTAATCTGATTAAATTTGTCCAAAAGCCTGGTGTCTGGTACCACATCTGTTTCCTGGAGATCCAATAAGACAAAGTGTTGTTATAAAAAGTATCTAAATATGACAGTTTTAAATCTACATGAAAAGTAGCTTTTATAATCAGAATCTATGAAGCATGAGACAGTAAACTTTATTATTCTAAAAAAGATTCATGAGAAGTGAGAATAGAAAAATAAAAGACAAAAAAATGGAAAATCCAGAATGTACAATATTAATGGAGACTGCCTTGACTATTAAACTAAGCAGGAGAAAGGAATAATGCCTTTCACCAAAATCTAGTTGGATGAGTTTTCATATTTTGAAATACACAGTACCACAGCTATGTTTTATTGCATCTAGGATTCTACCTTGGGTGCAGATTCATCCAACAGCAACTGATTAGTTATCAAGTCTTTTTTAAAGTGAGGGTATTATTCATACCATGTTATTTTAACAAAATATTTTATGGCTCAAGTCACTGCTATTGTTAAAAACTAACCTTCCAAAGTAAAAATTACTAAGACCAGGTTACCAGATTTATCAGCATTTCCTAGTAATATTCTATAAGACATTAATGAGGGTTCCTTAAAGAAATTTTTAATATCCAGTATATTTGGCAGCTCTGCCCTATGCCCTCCTCTTAGAGATTCTTTGTATAAAATAGATCAAGAGATTCTGTTATTAAAATAATACCCTATTTTGTTTAACACCATGCTTCTTACACTTGCTAAAGAGTATTTTAACAAAAAAAATAATGTTATAGTAGAAATCTCTTTATAATCTAGTAACATATAGTCAACTGCTTAAAATTTTTTCGTATGAGTCAAAAGAGGGACTTCAAATCAAATTTTCACAAAAAATGCCATTGTATTCTAGAAGCGATTTGGATGCAGTTGGCTGATAAAGCATACTGAATGCAGGAAAGCCAGGAGAGGTAATTTAGAGAAAAAAGTAAAATATGGAGATGTGCGTTATTAGACTCAGGACAGTGGCTTATATTTTATGCTTAGGAGTTTGGTGAGAATTAGCACAGGCTTAATAAGAGTACAGGCTGGAAATCATATGGGTTTGGGTTCAGGTCTTAGACTCACTGCATACTAGCTAATGGCCTCAGGCAGCTTAACCCTCTAAGCTTCATTTTTCTCTTCCAAATAATGAATGGTAACTATTACACCTACCTCACAGGGTGTCTATATAAAGTAAATGAGACAATGGGTAGGTTGAGACCAGCACAACAGGAACCCAAATAATGTAATGTTTCTTTTCCTTCTCAAATGACCCACTCACTCTGAGGCAGGTTACGAGGTTCACAATGGATTTTAAAGGTTCAAGTTATCTGTTGTTACAAAACACTCTTAAATTTCTACTAAATACATAGATATCTACTGTCCCATAATATTTGACATAGCAAAATTTGAACCTTATAGTTTGAAAGAGTTCATGAATGAGTTGGCCACATTGCCGCATGAGTCTCAAACTAGTAACACTGAGCTGGTGCCTGTGCTAGGCCCTCAGTACTCAGAGAACCACCTTTTCCTCAAAGTCAGTAAAAGAAAGTCTGAGAGACTTCTCAATGCTCAGTCAACCAAGGGGTACCTGGGAAACCTGTTGCTTGGAATTTATCAAGGCCTAGTGCTCATGTGACTCCATGGGTTGGAACAATATATGCAGAGGCATCCTTCTCAGAATGTTTATACATATTAAGCAAACAACAAAAAGTCTCATACTGAAATAAGTTTAAGAAATGTTTAAATTAAACGAGTTTCTTTACTGTAGCACTTCTCAGAGTTTAATGGGTACTAGGACTCTCTGAGAAGAGGCTAGTATGAGCATGCTTCTCAAATTTATTTGTTAGAGATGTTTGTTCTATGGAACACATTTGGGATTGAGAGAACTTAGAAGCTAACAGTGATCTCATTGTACCAATGAGCTCCATACTGACTGATTCTGGCTTCAGAACATAAAGACTACTGCATTCTGAAGTCAATCTAAGACTAATGAAAGGTTTGTAACTTTGTCTTTGTGAAAAATGCTATTGACATAAGTCAATCTGATATGTCATTTGAGGAATTTAATGACTGCATGACTGAGAGCTTGTGCTGTGACCACGAGAATAAAAAGAGATACTAAAGCTGGTCAAAGCTGGGGCCCTGGTCAGCAAATCTGTGTTTACAGAAAGTACTGTCAAAATAAAGATGAGGACAATCTAGAAACTCGAGATCCTTAAAAGCATCATAAAACAATATATAAATGAAGAGCCCAGAAAAAGATTTAAGGAAAACTCCATATCAAAATGAAGAATGGAGCATTCTTCCACTTTCACTGGTCTCTCTAAAATAAGTTAATCCCTAATGGCTGAGATATTTAGTTGCTGACTTGAGAATGTATAGAACTATCGCATGCAATTTCTTTGTATACGACTGTATCTATAGGCATTTTTCCTGAGATCCAAATCTTCCTGAGAGTGTGCACTAAAAAAAAATTGAACTTTGCCCTTTCTTCTGTGATGGACAATTTCCTCTTCTCTGAACTTCTACTACCCCGAGAACCAGGCACACACTATCTAGCTTTAAATGACTCCATGCACATGTACATCTCTCCCCATAGGGTCTGTATGTTCCTTTAAAGGAAGGACTGTATCTTATTGATCTTTGGATTCCTAACTTAGTACCTGGCACTTGGATAAGCAAGAAAAATTTACTGTTGTCCGTTACCTACCAAACACTTGCTGATTTTACATTTCACAAAGAAAGGAGTAGATAACCAGACTAAAAATATGTTACTCTTTAGAAAACAAACACATAAACCTCTCCTATTTGGACTCAAATAGACATTTTTTTTTTTTTTTAATGCAGAGAAAAGTTATACTCCTAATTAGAGAACACAGGGCATGATGTGGATAGCTTCCAAAAATTTACATGGTTTCATGATGGGAATATAATATCTTTGCTTTAATTTTATAAAACAACTATTTAAAATTTTAGATTTGCCCCCAGGATTCATATTATGCTTTCCTACCAGGTTGCAGATTTCACGCTCAGGTTACTCACCCCCCACCCCATATAAATCCAAATTAAACAAGAAAACATCTGCCAAGATTCCTTTTTACCTTCTATATGGTATTTGCTGAAACTTTTAGGTGGCCTTAATATATAGGGAATGTTAAGACTGTTTTAAAACTGAGAATGACAGGAACTGACTTAGTTTATGCAAAACCTAAAACATCCAGAGTTTAGTAATGGTCAAAGATACTCTACATGGGAAATTAAGTTGGCCAAGCGGCTCTAATACTGCCCACTACTCCTCCTCTAGTTCCACCTATACCCGCGGTTTTTATTTAATTTTCCACTGCCACTCCCACTCCAGTTTTAGGAACTCACCACTCTACCTCTACAACTTTGGCTTAAGTATGGACACAAATGCCTTCTTCCGGTTCCCTCACATTCCTAAATATCACAGACCTGAAGGAAAAAGACAAAGGCCAATAACCACACACAGCCAATTCCTTTTCCAGACCACGGTTTTCCACAGTCCTGTGATTCTGAGCCTTTGCATGCACCACATGCTGTCTGTCCCAAGTGCTTTTCCTTCCCCTTCTACTCTGTAAACCCCTACTTAGTAGTTCAATCTTAACTCAACTTTTACCTTTTGGACAGCCTTTTTGATCCCTCCTCATCTCTTTAGAGATGATCACTCCCTTCTATATGCCCTCACTATACTTTGCATTAACAAGTATTACTGCATCTTGAACATGGCATTATATTTATTTACTTATATGTCTGCCCCTCCTCTACCCAGAATGAACTTGAAGGATGGAGCTTGGCTTATTTATTTTACATCCCAGTGTCTAGTATTATGCCACTGTCTCCCATTAACCCATTAATTAATTTATCCCATAAATATTTATGGTTGAGCTCTGGTGTCAAGCACTCCTCAAGGAAAGCGGTGCGCACACGATGGACAGGATCTTGGCTTGCATGGAACTCACACTCTAGTTGGGGGAGACAGTGGATCGAAAATACTAACCTATAAACAAATAAGATGCTTCTAGATTGAGACAAAGAGAGATGGGGAGGTGAATGGAAAGTACTTTGGATTGAGTGGTAGGGAAGTTTACTGAGGAGGTGACATCTGAGCTGAGACCTCAATAACGGGAAGAAAACACAATACAAAGATCAAAGAGAATAGCAATCCAGATAGAATGAACTGCATGCTTGTTAAATGAAATCCTCCAGAGAATTAAAGAAGCATAAAAACATTGGCTTAGAAAGTAAAGGTTTCCATTTCTAAAATAGGTAACATGAACCCATGGCTCATGGGCCTCAGTGCCTTTATAATGCCCAAAGGCTAGCACATTTTTGCCAGCACTTTGCCTAAGATCTTCTCTCTGGCTTGCAACCTCCTCTGCTCCCTGCCTCCCCATCGATGAAAGGTGCCATCTTACAATCTCCCACTTCCAGACATCATGGCTCTCAGTGTGCTCTCAAGCTGGTGTTCTTAGCTTGAGCTCCATGGATGGGCATTTGGAATCACATGCAAAATTTTTACAGATGTTAATTTTTAAGGCCAAAGATGTATAGCTTTCTGAAAATAATCTCCAAAAAGGGTAAAATCAACTTGTCTAGATCAATACTGAAAGATGATCTCATGTTTCAAGAAAGACCTAATTATCCTATAGAAGGGTGTGGCATTGAAAACACAACACAAAACCACCACACCAGAGCACCTATATAACAGAATGACATGTGTCACTGAATGGAATATAGGGTGCATGAAAACAAAATGGACTGAATGGGAAGGCTGAGACTGTTATGCAGCTTCATTTAACAACCTTCAAAAATGCTCTGAGAATGAGACACTGAGATGTTAAGAATTCAGGATGAGTAAGTCCTTGCTCTCAAGGAGCTAATGGTTTATGTCAGAAACAGAAATAAGGGTAACGTAATAAGGACCAAGAGAAGGAAGGAATGTGTGCATAGAACTCAGAAGCAGAGAAGAGCTCGGGAAGTCTTCATAAGAGGTTATTTAAGGTAGTTTTTAAAGGAATAAGTATTTTATCAGATTTGGTAGGGAGAGGAAGGTTGTAAGGGGAGAATACATTTTAGAAAGGGTAAATGGTATAGATAAAAACAAAGATTTCAAACTAAGAAATAATCCTTTGCTCCAAGAGAGAGTGAGCCTGGATCAGGAAACCAAGCAGGGTATGGCACAGTCCTGCTTGGCCACTAATACCCTGCTACTTCCACTAAATGTGAGTCAACCTATGGTTAACAAGGTGGGTGGAAAATATAAAAAGCCAGTAGAGGGATAGGTAAAAAAGATAAAAGAGAAGAAAATATATATTGCTGATATAGCCTGAAAATGAGTTAGAAGAGGTTGTGTATGCATTCTTTCTTTTTTTTTTTTTCAAAAGTTGGAGAAAAGTTAAGTCTAAATGTTTGGAATAGCCTGACGTATGGCAAAGATACATAACGAGTTTTATATCCTTAGTGCCACAGAAATGAACTAAATGAGTTGTACTGAAATGATCACCCTCATTACTGCAATTTTTTTGTTGGAAACTTTGAAAAGAGCCAGATTTCTCTTAAGGCTTTCATAGGACTAATGAGACCACTGAGGTCTACTCAGATCATGTCTCTACTATGAAAACCATATAATAGATTCAATGGAGAAGTACAAAGTTTCCCTAAAGCTGATTCATTCTTGTTAGGCCACCTACTTTAGAGATCACCGACCAGTTACCAGTCTCATGGCTGAGGAAACCTCATCTTGGTAAAACACAAGTTAATGAAATATGGAAGGCAGAAAAAGAGTTGAAATTTTATTGAAGTAATTTTATAACACGTTTTTGATTTTCTAGTTCTTTCGATTTCTAATTCTTTCATACAAGTATCTTTCCTTTTACCCATCTTCCACACGATCCTCTATGTTTTTCTGCAGTAAAATGGGTTTGTCAATGGGTATAACTAGACAGTTCCAAAAACTTCCCTCTGGGACTTAGGTATATACCCTGTTTAGCTTAAAAATGGAAATATTAAAAAATGCCCCTCTGAGATATAGAAATGGGGACGAAGACACAGACTTGGTGAAATTTGGGAGGAGATTACAGAAAATAAAAAGGCCTTGGATGGTACCAAAAGGCTTTTGAATTTCCCTATCATTTAGACATATTTACCTGTCACAAAATAACTGGTAAGGTTTGCTGGTTCTGAGAGTGAGCCATGGTCCTTAAACCAAGGTAACCTCTTCAAGCTCAGACATGATTGGTCTTGATAGGAAATACTGTGGGGTTTTTTTTCCCCTCAGAAATTATATACTACTTCTCAACACTGAATTATCCCCCAAATTAGGAAGTTGCAATATTGTTTTTCATATTTCTAATTATGTGTGTGGCAATCACACTGAACTGCAATTACGCAGTCTCTTTTCAGGTAGAAAAGGCAACAGAGGTTGGCTCTATTATAATTACAAGGATGTTCTTTTATTATCCATTATGGATGTCCAAGATTCAAGTCACGCATTTACACTTACAATGGGGCTACTGAAAGCAGCCTGTCTGGAATGAGGCACTTCACTGGCTCCTTCTCCACTTCCTAGAGCGGAACAGCTCCCAGCAAGATGATTCGAAGGTTTACTTTCCAAAGGCCCATTATGAACTGTCCTGCAGCTGGGGGCTCTCAGTTTTGCCATATTGCTGAGGGAGCCACTGGGAGTGTCTGCAAGATCCTCATCTTCAACCACGGCTTCTTGATAGGACTCTAACCTCTTGGCTGAAGGATAAAAATCACACTGGGTCATTATCTGAGAAGAACCATTTGCAAGTTGAATGTGTCAGGCCTTTACTTAAACAGCTTTTCCATGTCTCCTCCCTGGCCTCCAAACTCCCTTCCCCCAATATCCTTAGTTAATGAACTTACCTCACTGAGAAAAGTAGAAGCAGTCAGATAGGAATTCCCTTCTTTTCTCATCATCAAATCTACCAATCTCTCTATGTCGGTATCCAAAACTCTCTGTCTTCCCTCCTACTACTATGGATAAAGTTCCAAACACCAAACCTTCCACTTTTGATCTGCATCCCATCCCTCTGGCCTTCTAAAAGACTTCATCACCATTATAATTCTCCCTCTTTCACTATACCCATCTCTCCTCAAACAATCTCATGGCTTTCTGTCTGTGTCTCTCCGCTGACACTGCTCTTGTTAAGGCTGCCAATGAGCGCCATGTGACCAAATCTAGGGATCGCGTCTGCCCATATAGCTCCTGACAGTATTTAAGAGTTGACTATTTTCTCTTTAAAATGGCTCTTGGTTTCTCTGATAACATGCATACCTGTTTTAACTCCTGCTTTAATGGCTATTCTTTCTTAGTTTCTGCTGCTGTTTTCTCTTCTCCTCAGCCCTTAAATATTGGGCTGCTGCAGGAATTCTTTCCCTTCTCCACCTATATTACTCTTCCTTGGTGATGTCGCCTGGTCCCATCTTTGAAATATCATCTCTGTGCACATGACCTCCAAATCTATACCTTCAACTCTGACCTCTAATTGGAATCCAGACTCATATATCCAACTCTCCACTTGATACTTCCAGTTGGATATCTAGAGGGCTCAAGCAGATATCACTCACTTCCCTCAAGTCTCTTACCATGATCCTTTGTTAGAGAAGGCTTCCCAGATCTAACCACACTATGTATTATAAATGCTCTGCCAGCACTTACCATCTATAAACTATATATCTTATTTGCTTTTATTTTTTTAATATAAACTCTGAAAGGGCAGATAATTTTGTCTGTTTTGTTAATATAATATTCCCAGAGCCCAAAGCAGTTGATACTCAATAAATACTTGTTAAATAAATAATAGAAACTTTAAATTCAACACGGAGAAACGAGAACTCTCCCTCCCTTCTCCCTCAAAATTACTCTTTCTCTGGTCTTTCCCACCTTTGTAACTGGTACCTATTTATCTAATTGCTTATGCCCAAAACCTAGGATTCTCTCTGATTCCTTTCTTCTTCTCCAGCCCCCTGTATTCAAAGCATCACCAAGAGCTGTCCATTATTTATCCAAAATATATCCCAAATATCTTGACTTCTCTTCATCTCTATTACCTTAGTCCAAGCCATCATCATCTCTCAACTGGACTAGTGCAAAAGCCTTATAACTGGTCCCCTTGCCCTCAGCAACCCATTCATCACACAGCAGCTAGAGTGATCTTCCTGAAAGAGAAAGCAGATCAGATCCCTCTCTGCATGAAACTCTCCAGTGAATTCACAATTCACTAAGAATAAAATCTGAACACCTTTTCTTGGGTTATATAACTCAAAATGATCTGACTTCTAATTTTTATTGCCTCTTCTTTTTCCTCTCCTCCACTAATCCAGCCTCACAGCCTTCTTTACTTTGAAAATTGCCAAGCTTATTTCAGCCTATACCAGCTGCTCCCTCTGGTTGGAAGGCTTTTGCCCATAAACTTCAAGATTATGTATTTCAGATTTAGGCTCTAATATCTCTCTTAGAAAGGCCTTGCCCAACCATCCAATCTAAAAAAGCCTTCAAATCATTCTATATCATATTAACCCATTTTAATTCTCTGCAAAGCACTTTTCACTATTTAATATTTTTTCTTGACTTAAAAATTAATTTATTTGTGACTAATAGAAGCTCTGTGGGAATAGGGGCCTTAATTGTCTTGTTTATCATTATGTCCAGTATCAGGAATAAAGAGTAACTAATCAAGAAACATGGGCTTGTTGAATTACTAGTTGTCTGTATGCTTAGTCCCTGGAACAAATTTCTAAGTTGCAGGGTTTTAAAACATAAAATAATATTGTCAGATGTGTTTAGTTCAATTATTTATGTGTAAGAGGTTATTTCCAAGCAGCAATATTCCTTATGGAAATATCTCCTAGGCAACGTTTTTGCTAGAAAAGCCTGAAAGGTTAACCTGTTTTCATTCCAGAGAAAATAATACATCTCAGAATTAATAATGTCTCCGCAGAATTAAGTTCTCAGGAGAAATGGTCCATACTGTTACCCTCTTCAGCATTCAGTGTGTGAGAGTATGTGAGTGTGTGTGTGTGTGTGTGTGGTGTGTGTGTGTGCACACACGGACTTGTTTTTAGACCGTTACAAAAAAGACACCAAAGCTCTGGACATATATGTTAGAGAGGTGTTCACAGGCAAAACAGCACCTTCTAGAAGTAGTGCAATACTCTATGGCTCACAAACAGGAATCTTATCAATGACAGTTCAGTCATGACAGCAAGATTCTCAGCCACTTGGTATCTTTCCTGCATGAGGGCCCACAGAAGAGAAGTACTGGCTGGGAAGGAGTATGTATGTTCAGTGGTGCCTCTTAAATGTTACAAATACAAAATTTTAAATGCTACAAATACAAAATACAATGCAGTGCTTCCCACCATGTATTTTATGAAACATTACTATTGCAAAATACTTCTTGGAAATTGGGATCTATGGTCAAATGATTTTAGGAAATACTAACCTCACAAATGGGCACAGAGATTAGGCTACAGCGATGTTCACTGCTGCACTTTTTACCACAGCAAATGACTGTTGACAACCTAAACTAATGGTGGAGTAGTTACATAAATTACAGCAATTCTTACATGCAACATAGCGTAACCACCAGAAGAATAAAATGAGAATGGAAAGAGCATCATCATAAAGTTTTAAGAAAAATGGGTATAAAAGTAAAAGCATACTATGATGTCACTTTTGTTTTAAAAACATACATTGATGTGTACATGAGAAAAACATGAAAAGAAATACACTAAAATGTTAACAGTGGTCCACTCTGTTTGGTGAGGGTTACTGATGACTTTAAAATTTCCCTCTTTCTGGGGAAAAAAATGGTGTAGATAATAGAGGCTCTGTTCATCCCTCTGGCGACCAAATCAAAGTTGTGATGGAAACAAGGAGCAGCAGCAAAGAAAAATTGCTTGGGATCTAGATGAACAAGCTATACAACTAGGGAGAAATCAAAGAGAGCACTCTCCAACGGCAGAAGGTAGGACGGGGCGAGGACACAGGGCGACCTGATCTAGAGCAGCTGAGTGAGACAGAGGCTGCAGCAGTGGCAGAAGCCTCTTAAAGGGGCCGTGTCTGTGAGTGGATTTTTGCGATGACAGACTGCCAGTTCGGCTGCATGCAGGGGGCACCAGGGACTTACAGGGAGATATTGTCGGACTGAAGGTCAAGGCGAGACCCATCTGGTACAGAAGTGCCAGCGGTATCCATTGTTCCCTGTTGAGCCCTCCCCGCTACCAATGAGCAGACACAGCAACGCCATAGCTATGATGTCATCAAACTGGATAACAGAGATAACTCCACCCAGAGGATCCCTGAAACTCTGCCTCCCCCAACTCATGGCCCCACCCAAGCTACATCCAGGTATATCCTAAGCGAGTCAGGTGCTCCTTGCCTAGACTCACATTGGAGGCAGCTGGCCTCGATTTCTGGTGCAGCCTTTTGAGGCAATCCACAGCATCTGTGGATTGCTTGCTGAATCTTAACAAGTGGCCCCCGATGGGTAGAGGCTTGGGCTAAATTTGGCCTGCAGCTGAACCCCTCTAAGGACTGTGCAACTGAACACCTACTTCACAAATCCACACTAATAAGACCGGGAGACTTAGGAGCTTTGCTTAGTACATAGAAATAGACACAGAAAGGCAGCCAAATAGGGAAGACAAAGAAGCAGAAACCATATGACAGAACAGAACAGAGATCCAGATATAATGGAGTCAAGTAATTTAACAAATGCAGAGTTCAAAACACTGGTTATAAAGATGCTCAATGAACTTTTGAGAAAAGTAGAGAACTCCAACAAAGAGATAAAAGTGGAGATATAGATTATAAGAGGGAACCAGTATGAAACGGAGAACACATTATCCGAGATGAGAAGTATATTAAATGGAATAAACAAAGGAATAAACGAAGTGAATAAAAAAGAGGATCACATGCCCTCTCTAGAGGACAGGAAAGCCAATCAGGGCACTCAAACAGAATGGCAAGAAAACAGAGGCCAAGACTATAAAGATGATTTAAGGAGGATATGGGACACTATTAAGGCTCCAAATATTCGTCTGATTGGCATAAATGAAGAAAATCAAAATGCTGAATAGCTGTTTGAAGAAATAATGATGGAAAACTTCCCTAACCTGGTGAAGGAAATGGACATAAAACTCAGAGAATTCCAAAAATCAGGCATCTAAAGAGGCCTATACCAAGACACATCATAATTTAAGTGCCGAAGGTTAAACATAAAGAAAAAAATTTAAAAGCAGCAAGAGGAAAACAAATAATTACATATAAGGGACACCCATACGACTGGCAGCTGATTTCTCAAGAGACTATGCAGGACAGAAGAGCTTGGCAAAAAATATTTGACAGAACGAAGACTCAGGATACACAACCAAGGATAATTTATCCTGCAAAACTATCATTTTGAGTTCAAGGACAGATATAGAGCTTCCCAGACAAAAATAAACTAAAGGAATTTATCACCACCAAGCCAAAATTATAGGAAATGTTAGTGGGACTTCTTTAAGAAGAAAAAAACATGTATCAAAAACAGGAATAAAGAATGGTAACAACTACATTCCTATCAATAAGTACCTTAAATGGAAAAGAATTAAGTGCTCCAACCAAGGACTAGAGTGGCTAAAAGGATAAGAAAACAAGACCCCTACATAGGAAAAGGAAGGGAATGGAAAAAGATATTGCTGTGATGGACCTAGAAGGTATTTAGTCAAAGAAAGATAAACTGTATGATTTCACATGTATGCGGAATTTAAGGAATAAAAAGAACAAACTAATCAAAAACAGACTCACAAATATAGTGGACAATTTGGTGACGGACAGAGGGAAGGGGGGGTTTTGGGGGCTAAGAGAATGGGGTGAAGGGTTAAAGAAGTACAAATTAGTAGCTGACGTATGGTCGCGGGGATGGGGAGCATGGCATAAGAATGCAATTAGCCTTAATACGTTGGCTAGGTGATGGGTCAGGGGAGTGAGGGAGCAATTGGGGGGATCATTTTACTAAGTATATAGATGTCTAACCAATGTACTGTATACTTGAAACTAAAATTTTTAAAAATATTTTCCTCTTTTGGCTTATCTGAATTTTCTATAATCCTTTTGTAAAATAATATAAGATGAAACATAATGTAGAATATCATTAAATCCAAAATGACTATTTTTTAAAATTTATATGGCGATTATGTGATAAATACTCAACATTTTATCCCTCACACTCATAGGTAACAAAAAACTGGCTTGAAAATATGTGTAGCTAGAAGAAAATATAATATATATTTTAAAATCTGGAGCAGCGTGGGATTTCTAAGTTTAACATTTCTGGCAGAAATTATATTTATAATCTTATTAATATTCATAATTGAAAATTTTTATTTAATAAAAATATAAAACTTCTAAGCAAAGTTAAGACACTGTGGTAGGCAGAATTCTAAAATAGCCACCAAGATTCCTGACCCACCCACCTCAATATATACACCTGTGAATATGATGAGACCTCACTTCTGTGACTGCATTATGTTATATGGCAAAGGTGAAGATTCTGCAGATGTGATCAAGTCCCTGATCACCCGAATTTGAGTTAATCTAAAGAAAGACTATTCAAGGTAGATCTGATCTTATCAAGTAAGCTCTTTAAAAGGTGGGTCAGGACTTCCTTAAAGTCAGAGAGATTTAAAGCTATAGATTCTGCTGCTGGTTTTGAAGAAGTAAAATGCCATGCTATGGTGAGCTGCCTTTAGGAGTTCAGAATGGCTCCAGCTGAGAGCCAGCAAGAAAGCAGGACTTCAGCCCTATCCCTTAAGACTCAGAATTCTTCCAAACACCGACCAGTGAGCTAAGAAGAGGCTTCTGAGCCTCAGAGATCACAGTCCCAGGTGAACATCTGGTGAGAGGCCCCCATATCCTATACTCAGACTCCTGACCCAAAGAAGTCATGAGATGATATACTTGTGTTGTTGTAAGCCGCTAAGTATGTAGCAATTTATGTGGCAATAGCAAACTAATATAGTGATAAATAATAAACCAGGAAAATATTTGCCACATATAGAAAAAAAAGGATAACATTAGGGTTGATACTCAAATTATTTCACAACTAGTTCAGTCCAGTGCCCAAATGAAAATTGACAATGACCACAGACTGGGGAACAGCAGCCCAACATCAGCCCTGCCATCATAGATAAAGCACTCCTATGGATTACTAAGAATGAGAAAAAGTCATTTGTAACACAGGAAAAGGACATGATCACTTTACTAAGGAAATTTGAATGACCAGTAAACGTATAAAAAGTTAAACATCTCATTACTAATCAAAAACAAATTAAGACAATGAAGTGCTAATTATGTCTCCAAAAATCACATAGACTAAAAAGAATAACTTTGTCCCAACATTATTGGGCATGAAAAACAGGTTTCTCTTTTATTTCATCTATCATAATTTTTAATCTTATTTGTCTATCTTGCCTAAATTCTAAGCTACATGAGATCAGGGACTGATGCCACATATTAGGAGCTCACAAAACATTTGCTGAATGAATAAGTGGTGTTAATTGCAAGCCCTGTTATAATAGCAAATGAAGCTTGACCACATACAAAACAATACTATGCATTTAATATTAACTGAGTTAAAAAAAAAAAAAAGTCCATAGGACATCGTTGAGTAAAAGAAGCAAACCGCAGAACAACATTATAACATATTTCAACTCATAAAAGGGAAAATGTGTAAATAAATATGTTCACATATAGAGGAATATGGAATATCCATAAAGAAATGGATAGTTATATATTCATCAAATTGTTAATGGTAATTAACCTATAGCGAATATGGCTTTTAACTTGTTTTGGACACTTCTCAGAATTATCTTCATAGGAGCACATACTATGTTTATAAAGAACAAAATTAATGAAGGTCAATTCTTTAAAGAAAACTTATAATTTATATATTTACTTCCTGTCAGAAGTTCAGCTCTTTTTTTTCCTTTTTTTTAAATTTATTTTTTGACATTATATATTATTTTATATTAGTTTCAGGTATACAACATAGTGGTTAGACATTTACATAATTTATGAAGTGATCCCCCTGATTAGTCTAGAACCCACCCAGCACTATACATAGTTATTACAATATTATTGATTATATTCCCTATGCTGTACTTCACATTCCTGTGACTATTTTGTAACTACCAATTTATACTTCTTAATCCCTTCACCTCTTTCACTCAGTCCCCCAACCTCCCTCCCATCTGGCGATCACCAGTTTATTCTCTGTATCTGAGTCTATTTGTTTTGTTCGTTTATTTTGTTCTTTAGATTCTACATATAGGTGAAATCATGTGGTATTTGTCTTTCTGTCTGACTTATTTCACTTAGCATAATATCCTCTAGGCCCATCCATGTTGTTGCAAATGATTTCATTTTTTTTATAGCTGAGTGATATCTCATTGTATATATGTACCACGTCTTTATCGAATTGTCTACTGACGGGCACTTAAGAGGCTCCCATATCTTGGCTATTGTAAATAGCGCTTCAGTGAATATAGGGTGCATATATCTTTTCAAATTAGTGTTTTGGTTTTCTTTGGATAATACGCAGAAGTCTAATTGCTGGGTCATAAGGTAGTTCTAGTTTTAATTTTTTGAAGAACCTCCAGACTGTTTTCCAGAGTGGCTACACCAATTTGCAATCCCACCAGCAGTGTATGAGAGTTCCCTTTTCTCTACATACTCACCAATGCTTGTTGTTTTTGATTTATTGATGATAGCCATTCTGACAAGTGTAAGGTGATAGGTCATTGTGGTTTTAATTTGTGTTTCTCTCATGCTTAGGGGTGTTGAGCACCTTTTCATGTGTCCATTGGCCATTTGTATGTCCTCTTTAGAGAAATGCCTATTCAGGTCCTCTGCCCAATTTTTAATTGGACTGCTTGGTTTTTTGGTTTTGAATTGTATGAGTTCTTTATAAATTTTGAATACTAATCCCTTATCAGATATATCACTGAAAAATATCTTCTATTTAGTAGGCTGTCATTTTGTTTTTTGATGGTTTCCCTTTGCTGTGCAAAAACTTTCACATTTGATGTAGCCTCATTTGATTTTTTTCTTTTGTTTCTCTAACTGAGGAGATATATCAAAAAAAACAAAACAAAACAAAACTACTGGTAGGAACAATGTCAGAGTTTATTGCTTATGTTTTCTTTTAGGAGTTTTGTGGTTTTGGGTCTTACATTTAAGTCTTTAATCCATTTTGAGTTTACTTTTGTATATGGTATGAGAAGGTGGTCTAATTTCATTTTTTTTAGTGTATATCTGTCCGGTTTTCCCAACAACATTTATTGAATACACCCCATTGTATAATCTTGCCTCCTTTGCCATAGATTAAATGACCATATTGGTATGGGTTTATTTCTGGACTCTCTATTCTGTTCCATTGATCTATCTATGTGTCTGTTTTTGTGCTAGTACCATGATGTTTTGATTACTATAGTCTTGTAGTATAGTTTGATATCAGGTAGTGTGATACCTCTAACTTTGTTCTTCATCTTATTTTTCCTAAAACTAGATGTTCTTAACTAAGAATTAGTGAATACCTAGTGGCTGAATGTTGGGGTTAAAGTTCCTATGGAATTACTTTCAAAATATTTTTTAGGGAGATGGTTCATAGTTTCATTAGATTCTTCAAAGTATCTATAATGCAATATCACTGTCACCATCTGCAACCCATAACCTTCTATCACCACTGGTAATTTAGTGTCCTTTAAAAGAAAAGAAAGCAGTAGATTCTTTGGCTTTGACCTACTAACTTTTGAAGAGATGACAATTAAGCTTACCACCCATTTGGATGAGCTAAGTACCCACAGCTTAAATATAGTATTTCCATACTAGAATTATCAAATCTTTAAGTGAGTATAAAAAGACCAATATTAAGGTTGGTTTTCATAGACACCCAACACTCACCATTTTCTTCATGGCAGTAATCAAAGCCTGCCACACTACATCTTCTAAAAACCATCTTATTCTCAGTGAGGGTTCCTGTTTTATCAGAAAAGAGATACTGAATCTGCCCAAGATCTTCAGCAATGTTGAGGGCGCGGCATTGAACAGTAGAATCCATTTTCTCATTGTAGAAATCCATATCACTTTGAATAAAATATATTTGTCCAAGCTTCACAATTTCAATGGAAACATAGAGAGAAATGGGAATCAAGACCTAAGAAGAACCAAGCAATTTAAAAAACATTAAAGGGGGGGAAGAAAGGATGAGAAGCTGAATATAGCTAAGTATATAGTAAAAATCTTAAAATTCTAGGATGCACTTGACAGAAATTACCTGTAACAAAATGATCATGGTCCAAAACATATAGAATCCTGCCAACAGTGGTGATATGACATGTCCGTCAGGCTCAGGGATATTAAAAAAGAGTACATTTTCATATCTACTCAACCAGATTCCATGACCTTTCAAAAAACACACAGATATTAAATAAATGTTACATATATGTTATACAAATATGGAACTTTATTCCCAAAGAAAGAGAGATGAGTTTATTTTGGTTGAACATCAATTGCTTTTGGAAACAAATTCAAATTCAAATGACTATACATCATCCCCTATCTTTCTTTCTTTAAATTTCTTCCCAGCTCCTTCAGTGCAGTGGCCACAGGTAACTGGATATAATCAATATTAATATTTTGCAGGCCAAAGAATGACAGAGATAAGAATGTGACTTAAAAAAATCTTTGGCAAATAAAACTTCCGTTCCAAAAGTCTAACATTCATAAATTTTTAAAAATACTTTTAAATGAATATCTTGCTGAAACATGTCAGCAAATAATCAAATTTTACCTACCTAATGCACCAGTTAAACACATTATGAACAAAAGCAAGACACACCAGAGGACATCTGTATTTGCTCTTCTTTCTAATTTGCTGCGCTTATACCTTGGACCGCTGTTGTTCAGCATTGCTTTGGTTTCATGGCCTACGCAGGTAACAAGATATGTCAGAAAATGTATAAATTAAAGCCAGGTAGCAAATATCATATTTTAAAATCTCTCTGGCAGACAATTTCATAAAAAGTAGTTACATAACATATTTTGTTAATTTAGTTTGCCTTTGCAATCCATTTAGAAAAACAGAGACCAATGATTAAGTTTATCAAGACAAAATTTCCCTTCTGCTTTTAGAGACTGCATTTTGAGTAAATGGAACATGTTAACTTGTAGAAAAGCACAAAGGAGACAATGGTGAAAAATCAGAAGTGTAACCAACCTGCATAAACCACAATGCCCACAACAGCTTCTGTGTTTCTAATAGTGCATCCCCTAAGCAATAAATTTTCTTTACTGAGACCCACGCAGTCTTTGTTGGAATGTTCTCTGTAAGAAAGAGAGCATATAGATTCATTTTTAAATAGCAAAAGTGGGAATATAAAATGATTTTCAGTTTTCTTCATTGGAGTATTAATTTAGGTAGTTCACAGGAAAGGTCTCAAATCTGGTCCGTTTGCTTTTGTTATTTCAGAGTTATCTGCTTTGGCTATGAAAAATGATGCAACAAGTTTCTAACTACCATTGTTTTCTATTGTTCATTTTTTTGGTCAACTTCTAGTTTTACAAAAGCCTAAAAACGTTGTTTTTCTAGTACAAACTATATTTCAGTAATTAATAGCTGATTATGAGAGAAAAGTTCTTGGTAGAATTAGAAAATCACCATTTTCAAACCAGATGAAATCAAGGATTATTCTAGGCAATGATAATTAGTAACTGCTAAAATCATTAGATGAAAGGCTGATGGAGAACTTGATAATGAAAGGATAAGGTTCATAACAATCTTAAGAGAACTATCAACAGGACAAGGAGACATCACAGGCCTACAGATGTTATAGGATAGGAAGTGCATGTCTCTAAGGGAACCTCTCTCAGGGCAAACCAGCCTGGGATCTATGGCTTCTGGGGATCTGTGAAGCCTTTGAAATTGTATGCAATATTTTCTGCATATGTATGTTGTTATTTGCATATATATACACATTTGTCATTTTCTAGGGAGAGAAACTCTTTCATCAGATTCTGAAAGTTTCTCTACACAGTTTACAGTAGAGAGGGCCAGAGTAACATATAACCTACCATCACTTGGAGGCAGTTGGCCAAATCTAAAATGTGGTAAACTCTGCAGGCAAAATGACCTGATTTATTCAACATACGAATGGTATGAGGGCAAAAGAAAGGGCAGGAAGACAAAACACAGGGAGGATGCAATCAGTTCAATCTAGAATGTGGTAAATTCTACAAGCGAAATGACCCAATATTTTGAGAAAGGAAATACAGAGACATATCAACCAAATACAATGTGTCAATCTTCTATTGATCCTGGTTAAAATATATTGACTACAAAATTTTTTTTTGAGATAATTGGAGAAATTTAAACAAAGACTAGATATTAGATGATATCAAGAAATTGTTCTTTAGTTAGATGCAATAATGTTATAACTATGGTTTTTAACAGTCCTTTTCTGCTGTATATGCATAGTGAAGTATTTTCAGTAATATGATATAATATAGGAGTGAGGGAGGAAGTGGGAGGATAATGGAAACAAAGCTGGCAAAATTATAAAATAGTTAAACTGAGTGAAGGTACATGAGTGTTCATTATACTTCTCTAAATATGCATATTTGAAATTTTCTGTAATATGAGTTAAAAATTATTAATTGATTGAATTACTACAGTAGCAAAAATACAGTCAAAATCATTGAAAAAAATTAAAATAAGCAAAATGTATTTCACAATTTTGAAAATGCCCTCTTAATTCCAGCATTAAAATTAGATTATTGTCTAATTTTATTTCAGTCTATATACTTCAGTCTATAAGTTGTTTCTTCTTTCTAACATACAGAAAAATTGCCATTATATTTGCTATCTTTGCTAACTGGAATTACAAGGAAAAGAAAATAAAAACTCTTCAAAGAAGGTTTCATGTCACTGAAGAGGAGAAAACTAGATGTCATTTCACTTCTATAATTTGTAAAGCACTTTCATCTAAGAAGTGTATTCTTTCTTCATATGTATAGATTTATGTACCGAGGGAACTACAGGGTTATGGTCAGAGCTAGAATGTCCTTGGGTTTAATCGCATTCGACTTCCTGGTTTTACACATGAGGAAATTAAATTCCAACATTTACATTTCCACATAGCATTCCCAGGCAAGCACCACCCAATCCTCATCAATATAGCATGTTTTAGCCCTAGAACCTTTATAGGAACAGATTTAATATATTAAAGTATGAGCTCCAAATTTCCTTAGTAAGTGTTAAGATATTTTCCCCCCAGGAATCCTTATTTTTCACCATTACATCACTCTAGTAGTCCAAACAGATGAAAGCCCAGCTTCTGTATTGGCTGCATCCACCCAAATGCTAAACATGTCCTGCACCTGATGGGTGTGTGATATCTGGCACTTAGAGTGTGTGACCCCTGGATTCTACATGAAGTACTGACTAAACACATAGAGCTCTCACCCATTCAAAAGCCTATCTAACATCTGCTATGTGACTAGCACTCTCACCAGATGCTGGGAATGAAAAAACAAACACATGGTTTGACTCCTGTGGTCCAAGAGAAGGTGATTGGTATGGAAATACATAAGTACAATAAAAATATAACTATTATGACAGAAATCTGATAGTCAGCATACAACGTGAGGAAATAGTGAGGAAGTCAGTTCTGCCTGAGAGTAATAAGATCAGAGAGGCCATAACACAGAGAGTGAGTTTGACATTTTGATTTTTTGATTTTAGAAAACGGACCACAATATAATAAAAGGGCGAGTTAGTTTGGTGGCTAAAAATAATTTCACAGAAAATCACTGTATCTACCTGGGTTCATTCTCTTGTTAAATGCTTCTCTGCAAAGCTAGCTCTCAATACAGACATCAATAGAGCAGTGCCAGGGAAGTCCGATCACTAAGGAAGAAAGAATCTGAGAGAGGGAAGAGGAAATGAGAGCATCTTCCAGGGGAAGACCACTTCAGTGGTCAGACCATGCTAGTCAGAAAGTAAGGCAGCATATGCTGGAACAAACCACTATTAGAAGAGCTTATCGTGAATAGGGGAAGCAAAGGGCAAGCCAACACGGTGTCCAGGAATCCAGGGTAAAGTGACAATGTAGACTGTGGGGAAGCATGAGGGGCTTTGGGACTAAATAAGGGTTCTGGGGCAAAACTCAGTACCTAGCATAGATGGAGTCTCAGATATTAGACAAGCTGTCAGAAATGGAACACAGGATCAGAATTAGCAATGACAACAATGATTTTTTATAATTAAAAAAAAAAATACTACATGCATGCTTTGATCAAATTCTGGGCAGAGTTCTATGCTCCAGATCACACAGTGCTAGGTTAGTATTTCTTCCTGATATCTCGTGCTCGTAAACAAGATTCATTCTGCCACAGGCAACTGAGTTTGT